GCAAAGGCCCCGAGGGCAGAACTGAAAAATGCAGTATTTGAAAGTGGCGCCCGAATTGCAGCATGGCGCCAGTTGTCCAAAATCCTGCGGTACCAAAGGAGGGGTTTGGAAAAAGGGTGCCAGGCCGAAAACGGGATGCAGCTGAGACAGCAAAAAGATAGACCAGGGATCGAGCCCTGGCGAAGTCCGTAACAAGTCAAATGTGGTAGTGAAATGCCTGCACAAGATGCCTGAGGGATTACGAGTCATTATGGATACCGATTCCGCCTAGAAGAAGTGACGACTACCAATGAGCACGTGTATAGTATACGGGACCTAGCTGGTAGTGAGAAAGAGGGGCGTGGGCAAGGGTTGAGTTTGACTAACACGACTGACGTCACTGGCTATGACAGTCTTCGTCTCCCTTCTCTTTCCTTTCTTTCTCCTCCCTGTGTGATCAGGGGTGACAATCAGTGTCACATCTACTTCCACTCTCTTGTCAGTAACTGACGACAGGCAAAAGGTCAGGGTGAAGGTTATGAGGGAACAAACAGCAGGATCGGGGTTAGCTGCGAGCCGAGAGGAGAGTGAAGTCGAACCAGCGCACGCACATCTAAGAACGCGTGTGCCGAGTGGAGTATGGGCTAGCATCGACTTCTCACGGGTGAGTCAACTAGCAATGAGCACCCTGGCAGTATGCAGAGTCTAGTCAGTGTCTGAGAGGAGCGTTGGACAATATTACATGGGATCGCCTGCCAATGTTGACGTCACCCCTTTCCCATATGTGACTGACCCGTGGCGACGATGCTGAAGAGAGGTCACGGGGCATCGTCTGTGTTAAGGCTTGTCATGTAAGGAGGGCTCATGTGTGCGCCAGCAGAATTTTGGTGAGTAGGAGGCAGGTTGGGCGAGAAGCATGCGTTACTGGGGAGGACGCCTGTGAGAACGCGGAAACGGTCCATACGAAGGGTAACTTGGTGGACATCAGTGTCCTGGAGCTTGATCACCGCGCATCATCTACCTTTGCCATTAACCTTATCTGACCACTGTTACTAGTGACATGCTGGATATTGTCAATCAAGTAAGGTGCAAGAGTTAAAAGGAGTCAGAGTCGCAGATGAGTATCGATGGGCACTAGTAACTTGTGTGGGGGGCCAACTATAAATGATTCGCACTCATGACAGGGACTGTAATTGGATACGATCTATGATTGGATGCGTTGCACCAACGAGTATTTTGCTGGTAACCCGTCACAATCCGTAGTGCGGTCACCCCCAACTACAGAAGGGAAATGCCATTTATAAGAAGCCTTAGATGAGGGACTTATCGACTGTAAGCTGAGACGCTCAGCCAACCAGGGTACTCTCTCTCTCTCTCTCTTGTGCTAGCGGATTGTGGTTGACGCCAACTGTTCAAAGCATCTTCATTTCTATCAGCTCCTATGTACTGAATCGATGACCTGGGTGGTAATTTTCCCTTAATGGGCGGACATTGGACTCTTGTAATCGATCTAGTACACTGTACCTCGCACGTGCCATGAGTGATAGTTCGGCGGTGATGTGTATTGAGGGCGGTGATATTATCTGATAAGTGTGATCTGTCCTTTACTGATAAGAGTCGTGGAGGCAAGAGACCTTTCTAAGATTCGAGCTGTAAAACCGACTATTTAGATAAGATTACGAAAAGTATCTCAAGCTTTCACTTCTTATTTATGGTTGTTTAACTCTCACCTCCGCTCCTTGCTTGTTTGGGCTACCTACGAAATTAGTAATCGGGGACCTTGGTCCTTTGTCATTGTAAAAGTAGTATGAACAACTTGAACTTCCCTTCTCCCATGAGCTCTCGCTCCTATGGTGTATGTTGATCGGGTTTCGAATGGCAAGCCATTAGAAACGAGTCAGCGGGCATGTAGTAATAGGGAGAAGGAGGCTGAGATCTTCGCACGCTGTTGATGAACAAGAAATTCATTGGCAAATTTTATGTTCGATGGTGACTAAAGAAAGGAAAGGGGGAAGTAGGGATAAAACCTTGTGCACAAGCCCTGAGTCAAAGTCGATGTGGGAAAGGTAGTCATCGTCCAACTTTTAAGAATCAATTCATTCGGAGTTCTCTCTTACTCAGTTTGATCATAATGATTCCGACAGAGGAAAACGCGTGCTATGGCTGAGAACATTAATATCTACGGATTACCCCTTTGGGATCAAGTGGGACCTTGCCTCAGCCTTGGAAGTGTGTTTTTGGCCTATGCGTTCCCTGACGCGCGCTGGTATTGTGAGAACACCTCTTCATTTGAGGGTAGAATTGCAAAATTACCTTTGTCCTTCTCAAGCATTATAGGAAGGCCCCTTTATCGAGGCATAAGATCAGGCAGGAACAGGAAGATACTTTCCTGAGTTCTCGGTAGGAAATGAGGGGTGTTCCCCTTAGAAAGTGATAGACACTCGGAGGTAAATCCATGCTATTTTGATTTGATCCCTTTCTACTCGAGAGCGACACTATGCTCAGAGAGTTGGTTTTCCCTCCTCAGTGAATGTAGGGGAAAGCTATGCATTGGAAATTTGAAGTTGAGCATAAGACTGCCCTTGTGATTCGGGCCGCCGGATAGGGTATTGGAGAGTTTCAAACTCAGAGTCACTGTTTCGGACATAAGCGGGCTCTGGGCTTGTACTCGAGAGGTCAAGAACGTGTACATCCGATGTCCGAAGTTACCGTTTATGTTTGAACTCGTGCCCATGTCCGAAGTGGCTGTATAGAGTCGGGGTGTCGAGCTCAAGGACTCTCGTACCCAAAACTAGTACTCGCAGCCAGGTTTTTCTTTTTGTATTAAACAAAAGCTACTCAGACTTGCATCACTCGACATGTGATTATATTTCATGCATGAGGTTCGTACGTGAGGAAACCCCTGTGTCGAATATGAACAGGAGCGACTCTCAATCCCTTTCGTGAACATCACTCGCTTAGCACGGTTCGTTACTAGTCATAACTAGTGTACTGTCAGGACATGTCTTGTTGAATGATCGTATTCTGTGTGTCATACAAAGAGGACTGTCTTTTTGTACTGGTCTCTTGGTTGAGGGCAACCTGGGGTTGTACTACCCAACTGGTTGCAGTTCACCACGGCAGCAAGCTATTGCAAACTGTTCAAATGAGACCTCAATCACCACGAACCCGTGTGGCGGCCGGTATTGGTGATTCGCCTTTGGGGGCAAAATCCGAATGGGTTTCAATGCCTCAGATTAATAAAGATTTTTCGCATTTCCCATGTTTTCATGCCCAAGGGTCACTACAATGGGTCTTTGTAGGGAAGAAGGCAAAGGTTTGGGAAGTGATAGCATACTACCTGCACACCTTACCGGGCCAAAGTGGAAAGTTGGGAAGAGGGAGTTGTTGAAGACATCAGGTACCGTACAAGGCCAATGAGACGACAAGCACTAGAGTTAGTAAGGGAGCAAAAATTCATTGAGTATATCATCTATTTCCACGGAACATTTTCTCTTCCATTGAAATCGTTGATCGAGCACGAGAGGTTGTCAGTGGCCAACAGTAAGAATGAAAAGAGAGAAATATTTCGTGAGTGGCTTGCGTAATACAACAAAGACGAACTGACAAAGTAGGAATCACGTGGCAACATTTAGAGGCCAGATGTGAGAGAAAGCATTCAATATTGTCAAGAGACAAACCATGACCAAGTAAACAGTGCATTATGAAGATTTGGTCAGCGAGAACAATGGACCATCCTACTGGCACAATCAGTCAAATAAGAGAATCCATCAGAATCCAGTTGTTACCATTCCTCACATGAGTACGGTTCAGTCGTTCCCAGTCAATGGGTCGGTTTTTGCCAATCTCAATCAGATAGCTCTCAAAGATGCTTTTCAGTACCAGTATGTCAGTGCAGCTGGCTTCAAACAGGAGATCTGTCAATCTTTGTGGTTCACACCAAGTTTGCAGGAGGCACCATCCATAACCTGAGGGTCTACTTGAAGAAGGGTAAAGAAACCCATGAGCACTTCGACTCAGTCTGGGTCTCAGCAGCTAGGTATCTTGAGGAGAAAGAGAGAGAGCTTGACGAGAGTGGTACCAAGTTTTGGACCCAAGCTCTATATTGATTATCCCTGGTCTCCAGTCCCCTTCCTCCTTACAGATGGAGCCATCCGAGTTCAGACATCTCAGACGAGGGGTTTTCTCCCAGCCATATCTTCCTACTCTATGGGAGGAGTTTTGTGCTATGGTTGACTTTTGCGTCATGGGCCTCAGGTGGAAGTGTTCAGAGCTTGCAAGCTTCAGGTGGCTCTACATTCAAAGGCCACAATCTCAGGAGGTATATAGGTATGGCTCGCAACAAAATTAGAGATTGAGTATGTGACCCTAGAGGGATGAGTGAGGACTCTTGACGAGTGTTGGTGATGCCCTCCTATCTGTACTTTCTGGGATTATTACGAGTTCTCATTCTTCCCTCATCTATCCTGGTCACTGCTCGAGTCAGTCGGTCCTGGTTTATTTGCATTCCGCCAGTGTTGGACCCCCCGACGGTCGGCGCCCCTTGATTGGTCGGCTGCCGACCCGCCGACCGATCGGCTGGTCGGCACCTATTTGACGACAGTCGTCGGTACCCCGCAAAAAAAAAATTGGAGTCCAGAACCCTTAATAACACCACCACCACCCCCATAGAGGCCCCCAATACCCCCATACACCCCCCCAAACCACCCCCAACACCCTTATTACCCCCCCCAATCCCCCCTATACCCCCCCTACACTCCAACCCCAACCATCCCATACCCCACCCCATCCCCAAAAGTCTCTGAGCGGATTTGGGCTGTACTCAGCAAGCACAATACAGTCCCCAACTCAGATTTGAAAAAAAATCAGTGGATGGTTGTTTTTTGACTGGTCGGCAGACCGCCGACCGGTCGGCCCTACTAGTCAGCTGCAATACGGTCGGTTGTCGGGGTCGGCGGTCGACAGGGGTGCAACTCTGCATTCCGCTTGATTATTGTGTTCTCTGGTGATCTTGTCACAGTTCTCAAAATTAGTGAACTGGCAGAATTGATACATGCATGGCACACTAGATTATTTCATGATCTTTGTTGTTTTGAATCAAAATAAAAGATTCCGAAGACCGGGGACGACGAAGATTGCAATTGAAGGGTCTCGCTCAGAATCGGATGCACACAACAGGAAGGGACTTGCTTTCATTAATTTATTTTATTTGTTGCAAACATCGTCAAAACCTTGCGTGATAGCCTGCTGGCTTTCTGGTCGCCCAAAGGGGCCTGACTAGAAAAAATGTGACAACGGGCTCTAGGTGCGAGGTTGTTGGGCGCAGAGAGGTGAGCTCCATAGCTGGGCTGCTTGTTCTAGATGCCATTGGGGATTGTGGTGGGCCTCGACAACGTGGATACCATGTGGAGGGGTATGGGGATTAAAAGGAGAGAGGGAAGGGACATACCTGGTGTGTCATGGAGGCGTGCAAGGGTGAGGTCATCAATCCGCTACTGAAGTGTTTTTGGTTGCATCGCATAGAATAGATTAGCATAGCTGTTGTGAGTTTGTAGTTTTGGACCAGGCTGCGTATAGAAGGGCGACATTGGATGCATTGTTGGTGGAGGCGAGATTGTGCTGACATTGAAAATTGAGTCCATTGCCTTGCTTTCAGTTCGATATATGAGTATCGGGCTTTCAATGTGAGTTTCAATGTGACTTTCAATGTGAGTATAGAAGGGCTATAGATAGGATCTTGCGCGTATGCCTCTCTAACTTTCTGTTGCAGGTCCTTCCCTATATCCAGATAATGGACTATCGCCCCAAAGTAGTCCGACCTCCTACTTAGAGCATCCGCAACTACATTGTGCTTGCCCTTAACTGGCTTAAGGTCAAAGTCGTACTGGTCTATCTCGGCGGCCCACCTGGTCAGTTTAGGTGTCATCTTGGCCTGCGTCTTCAGCCACCTTAATGTCTCGTGGTCTGAATAGACTTTGAAGTGCCTCCCAAGCAAGTAGTGCTTCCAGTGTTCTAGTGCTTGCCTGAGAGCGTAGTGTTCCCTCTCGTAGGTGGATGTCGCTACCTTCTCTGAAGGCATCCTAGCAGACATGAACTCTATGGGTCTATATCCGCTGCCTTCATCTTGCTGTAGTACAACACCTATGCCATACTGGCTCGCGTCAGTGGTAACAACGAAAGGTAAGGACGGATCGACGACCTTAAGGACTGTGTACTCTATCAACGCCTGCTTCAACTTCTCTATGGCAGACGTGCAGTCCTTATCCCACTTCTAGATTATTTCTTTCTTCAGCAATCTGCGAAGGGGTGCAGCGATGGTAGAGAAGTTTCTCACAAACTTCCTGTAGTAGTTCGCTAGGCCTAAGAACGACCGCAACTCTGTCAGCGTGCGGGGCGTAGGCCAATCCCTAATCGCTGCAATTTTGCTATCCTTTGGCTTAATGTCGTCTCCGTCTAAGACGTGGCCTAAGTACAAAACTTGGGTCTTTGCCCATTCACACTTCTTCGGGTTAATTTTGAAGTTAGCTTCTCTCAGCTCCTCCAAGACCTGCCTCAGATGACCCTGATGCTCTTAGAAGGTCTTGCTGAATACTAAAGTACATTACTACAAATTTATCTAACCACGGCCTAAACAGGTCATTCATACAACGCTGAAAGGTCGCTGGCGCGTTGGTTAGTCCAAAGGGCATGACTATAAACTCATAGTGCCCATACCTAGTCCGGAATGCGGTCTTATACTGATCATCAGGATGGATCTCTATCTGATGATATCCGGACTTCAAATCTATCTTTGAAAAATACTTGCATCCCTACACCCGGTCTAAAAGATCATTTATACGGGGCAGTGGCTCTGCATTCTTCACAGTGATAGCATTGAGACCCCTATAGTCAATACACATTCTAAGCTCTCCCTCCTTTTTGGGGACAAACAAAACTGGTGCTCCATAAGGAGATGAAATGGGCCTAATCCAACCCTTTTCTAGAAGCTCGTCTAGTTGCTTACGCAAATCTTCCAACTCCCGCGGGGACATCATGTACACCGCTCCTTTGGGAGTTCTATTGCCAGGCTCTGTCTCTATACGATGCTGGATCGGCCGCGACACTACTCCTGTCGGCGGCTTTGCTGAGTCCTCAAACTCTTCCAGCAGCTTGGCAATAGCTGGGTCAATGGGCTTCTCTTCCTTAGGGTCAGTAACAGGCCTGACGTAAACTACGAAGACCTGTTCCTCTAATTTCTCCTTTTTCACCAATCGAGCAAACGCAGGAGCACTGCGACAGCAATGTGCCAGGGTATTGTCTACACCTGACGCATGGAACAGACGGGCAGTCTTAACCTCGCCTGTCGGACTAGGGAGCCTACACTCATGCTGTCTCAGGTGGAGTGTGGTCCCTGCTGCCTCTCCCCAGTCCATACCTAGGACTATATCGAAAGGAAGGTCGTCCTGTACGAGGAGAGTGGGGGAATGGAGAACTTTCTCCACCTTCCCATCTTTCTCTAGGCAGAAATACGCCTGGACTCCCTCTACGTAGTCCTCAACAAGCATAGTGCGGTTGTATGCGAGGACACTTAGTATGGGGTCTTCTAACTTCTGGACTTTCAACCCTAGCCTCAACTTCTTCAACGCTCTACGGCTAATATAACTGCGAGTAGCCCCTGAATCTATAAGGGCTCTTACTCTATAGTATGGGACCTCTATATCTACCAAAACCCGTTGTCCCTTACTCTCTTTTTTCATCTTGGCCCAGGCGGGCATTCTCTCCTTCAGCTCATCGGCCACGCCTGTGAGGGAGGTGCCTAAAGAGACTCTAACACAAGCAGTCTCTGGATAGCTATCTAGGCATCGGCGCGCAACCTTTGCCATAGGCTCATGTGGTGTGGGAGTTTCTTGCTGGCTCGCGCTTGTTTCCCCACATGACCTTACGGTAGGGGCAGCTGCAACCCTTACCGGCGGCCGCCTTTTGATTTCTGGGCAGCCCATCGGGCCTCTCTATACTTTGGACAGTATCGAATGATGTGGCCAGGGTCACCGCAAAATAGGCACTGCCCCTGATCCACACGCTGCTGCCAGACGCGCTGGTCCAGGCCCAAATCCTCCCAAGGTTGGCCCTGTGGCAGACCTGGGTTCCAACTACCTCTCCTATAGGGTGACCTATTACCCCTATTAGGTGAACGGTTGCCAGAACGGTTTGGCGGGGGACCTTGACCCCTTCCTCCCGCTTGGCGGTTTCTCCTCTACCGCCAACCCCCTGATTGCCCTGGAAACGGCCACCCGAGGCCCGACCCCCTTGGCTCTGGCCTCCTCCTCTTCCTTGCGGCCTCCCTCCACCCTCATCTAATGTAAGGATCAGATGATCCTTGGTCTTAACTTGACCTGAGATGGTACGACCCTTCCAATTTTTACCCTTATCCAGGTCCTTATGCCAGACAGTGGATACTGACGCGGGCCGTGCTTCGAACGCTACCACTTCCCTGCTAAGTGCATCGTAGGTCATGGTAGGTTGCTGGATCTTTTCAAAGAAATGCCCGTGTAACGGTTCGGGCATAGCGCGGTAAAAGAGGTTGACCAATTGGGTATCAGTGACCCCATGATCAGGAACGACAACCAACTCGTCCATCACACCTTTGAGTGCTCGCACTCCTCCACTGACGAGAATGGATGGTTTGCAGCTTTCTGACGCTTTGACACTAGGGGTCACGTCTGCAAACCGTTCTCTCAGCAACTTAAGAAAGTAACTGAGAGGAGTGAATGCAGAATAAGCCACCAAATCATCATTGCAGTTGGCGGCGCGACACAGGGAACGGGCGAAGCTCGCTGCTTCCTCCCTAAGGGCGTGTATAGCGATCAGGACGTGCTCGTCGGGAGCAGCGTTCTGCAAGTGCACGTACGTCTTAATGTTGGCTTCCCAATTATCCAAGTTCTCCTCCTTTCTGCCGTAGGAGTCGGGGAACTGGACCTTCACAGGCTCTCTACGGGGACCCGCCACTTCCTCCTTGGGTGCGACCAACTTGGCGCCCTCTATGGCGCCTGTGCAATAACGCTCTGTGCTGTCTAGGCGGGCCTTCACCTCGGACCCTACCTGTACCACTAGCTCCCTTGCGAACTCCCTAAATCCCAACCGTATCGAGCACAAAGCAATATCTTGACTTCTAATAAATTGGTATTGCTCCTCTTGAACCGTTGTCAGGCATTCGATATTCTTTGCCATGATTTCCATCTTCCCTTGCAAATCAACCTGCGTCGCCATCTGGTCCCTCTGCTTCTTCACTTCTTCCAATTCCCTTGCCGCCCGGCTCACCGCATCCAATCTTGCTTTTCTCTCCCTTGTTAGCCGGAATTTCCACATCGTCCTCTTTTCATCCTCTAGGGCCTGACGCCTGAGTGGATCTTCTTCCGCCTCCCACTCTTTCAAGGCCGCCTCCTGTTCGTCCCCGGGCACATACATCAGTGGTTCTTCTTCTTCTCCCAGGGATAAAGCCTGGCAGGGGTTTGGTCAATGAGGCCCTATCCTTCATACATGGAGTCCTATCACCTGGACAAAAGAGACTCAATGCAGAAAGAAGAGACAGACAAACTCAGACTCAGCAAGTACCATAGGGTGAGTGCACATCCATAGGGTGAGGGGATAGGCTAAGGGCTTGGCAAGATTATACCAACTCCAGCTTGGTCAAAATCGTGGTCAGCAGCTTCGGTCAACGCCTTGGTCAACGCTTGGTCAACACCGTCAGACCCCGGTCAACACTCCGGTCAACCCTCTGGTCGGCTATGACTGCCGGCACCTTCTTCCTCGCCAATCTCTTCTTTCTTCTTCCTCCTTTCACCTTCCTTCTTTCTCGCCGTATGTCCTTTTTTTTCTTTTTTCATCACCCTCGGCTATGTATGTCTTCACCTTCGTTGTCCCTCCTTCCTCCTTCCTCGTCTATGTCTCCTCCTTCGCCTATGCTTCACCTCTCTTTCTTCTCCGTGTTCCGAGCTCCACGGCTATGGCTGCTACTTTCTCTTGGACCGCACAACGATCTTCAGCGCAGGTACGTGGTAACCAATCTTGTATCGCTCAGCCCCTCTCTCTCTCTCTCTCTCTCTCTCTCTCTCTCTCTCTCTCTCTCTCTCTCTCTCT